CTGGAGTGTCCAAAGTTAAAACATCTAGGCATATGTGGGCAAAGCCAAGATAATTATAGGAAACTGGAAATCACTAATTTCTAAACACACATATACACAAAATCACAGCACCTTCAAAGTAATGTAGAAAAAGCAAACATTTTTATGCAATGGAAAAACATTTAATCAAACCTAAGAAAGCCAGAAATTTTGGATGAAAATTAGAGGGAACCTGTATGCAGAAAGAGGTATATTATGGCTCTAAAAGCATCCTTTCAAAGCTGCTTTATGAACTAATACAGTTTTTCCTTCTAAAAGGCTCCCTGGCGCAGTGGTTAGAATGTAATATTGCAGGTTAACTCTCTGCCCACAGCCTGGAGTTCGATCCTGACCGGTTCAAGGTTGACTCAGCCTTCCATCCTTCCAGGATCAGTCAAATGAGGACCCGGACAATTGGGTAAAATATGATGACATTGTCAGTGGTGGGATTCAAAAAAAAATTCTCGCGGTTTTGTAGGCGTGGCTTGGTAGGCATGGCATGGCTTGGTGGGCGTTGCTTGGTGGGCATGGCAGGGGAAGGATACTGTAAAATTCCCCATTCCCTCCCCACCCCACTAACCTGCTTTCCAGCTCCGTTCTCCTGTGCAAGGAAAAAATAGAAGACCCAGCCGATCAGCTGGGACTCGGGAGGCAGATAATAGGTGGGGGCAGGGCCATCAGAGGTGGTATTTGCCGGTTCTCTGAACTACTCAAAAATTCTGCTACTGGTTCTCCAGAACTGGTCAGAACCTGCTGAATACCACCTCTGGACATTGTAAACCACCCAGATAGTGCTGCAAAGCACTGTGGAACGAAATATAAACCTAAGTGCTATTTCTATTGCTAAAAAGCAAAACAAAGCCACCATATTATTTTATTGTTTATCAGCTTCTCTAATAGCTGGACAACATTTCTGAATATATGTGCTGTCTTTTAGCAAAGATCACACTTCTTATGCAGGCCTGCCTGGTATCTATGTTCCGTAAAACCTGGATCTACTTAAAATCCAATCTGAGAATGCCAGACATCTATTAGCACAAACCAATTCTCTTCCTTCAAACTATTAATTGAAATAGGACAAGCAAATGTTAATGCTACCATTAGCACAAAGGATCAATTCCAATGTCAGCATTTTTAGCCAGATGCCCACCTCGAGAATGAGCGTTGCTTTTTCTGTGCTATGTGGCCATTGCTCTTTTCTTCATTTAACCACTTGACAGCAAGGAAAAATAGTAATAAAATATGCTGGGGTTAAATTGAAGATTACACACCGACTTTCCATTATTATTGTTGTTATTATTATTATTATTATTATTATTATTATTATTATTATTATTATTATTATTATTATTATTATTTCTTCTCTAAGTCACTTCTCATCTATAGTTTTATTGATTTCAGGTAAGGATGAATGGGATATTCCTGTGATCTTCTGGGATGAATCCTACATAACATATAGATGCTTTTATTTCTGATGCACAAACTAAAACTCAACAAAATAGATTACCAGGGCAGCACTCCATTGATTTCATGTCCCCTTATTCTTCCTGAGCAGGGCTGAATACTTTATCTATAATTCAGAAGGCTACAAACCTGCTGGCTCCTGAAGGACTCCACAGGTCCTGAAGGAGATGCTAAACTATCACTCTACAGTGGTAGGAAAGCTGTTTTCAGTTGTTGCAACAAAGGAGGCCAAAAATGTCTCTGTTTTTTTGGGCCTCCGTCAGAGACACAGCCAAGGTTATGGCACAAAAATGCAGGCTTTTAAGGCAGCTTGTAAGATTCCAGGCAATGCCTGTTGAATGCACACCGTTCAATATTTTGAAGTCCAGGTTCCAGCAAAACCTACAGCAATATGGCTGTGGCTTGACTATCAAAGGCATTTATTATGCTTTGCCAAGTTATAATATTTAAATATTTCTTCGTCAAGGGGGAATCTGGGTAATCTATAATCTAAGCACATATATCATGCTAAACCAAGGTTTCTTTTATTTATTTATGTATTTATTCATTTATTTATTGGTATTCCTCGACTTACGATTACAATGGAGCCCAACATTTCTGTGGCTAAGCAAGATACTTGTTAAGTGAGTTTTGCCCCATTTTATGACCTCTCTTGCCACAGATGTTAAGTGAATCACTGCAGCTGTTAAGTTAGCAACACTGTTGTTAAGTGAACCTGGCTGTCCCCATTGGCTTTGCTTATCAGAAGGTCACAAAAGGGGATTGATCACGTGACCCAGGGGACACTGCAGCCATCATAAATATGAGTCAGTTGCCAACGGTCTGAATTTTGATCATGTGACTGTGGGGGATGCTGCAATGATCATAAGTGTGGAAAAACAGTCATAAGTCACATTTCTCACTGTTTCTGTAACTTTGAATGGTGACTAAATGAACTCTTGTTAAGTCAAGGACTACCTGCATTCATTCATTCATTCATTCCATTCATTTGATATTACACTATTACATATTACAATAAAATGATATTATTTATTTGATATTACTCTAAGCCATCATGTTCATGTTTGTGTTAAGTTCACAAATAAGTGGTTCACTTATAATTTTACAATTAAAAAAGTACATGTTTTTACTGTAAAAAAAGTAGGTGTTTTCTAAACCATAATAGTCTGCAAATCCAGCCAATTATGATTTCTTCAGCAAACCAATATTAAGCAACCCATAACTTAAAAGTCCTGAGATTCCTTTTCATGGTGCACAGACATTTGAACCAAGCAAGGATGAGAATCTCTCAGAAAGTTTTTGAAATTTATCACAAAGACTGAACGAAGCAAAATGTGAACCTGCACAATACAGTGTCTCATAAATTAATATTATCAATATTATAAAGAAGTAGTAGTAATGTTGGTTTATAAATTGATTAGTCTTATATCCAGCTTAAATAATAGATTACTAGTCAATATATTTTTAAAATAAAAACTAAGTGTACAGGAAATCTCCCATTTCTAGCTTCAGCGCTAAATTACTTTTACTGGTAACCCAGTTGAGAAGAAGTGGTTTGAAACACTGTGAATATCCAACTCTTTGGCTCTTTGGCAAGAAAGAAGAGAAAAAATTTGCTAGGGGACAGTCAGAAACATGTCACATCCTGTAAATCATGTTCCTCCTGCTTCTAAATGATCTAACTGTAGTACACAAAATTGTCTGCTACAACGTCTTGCCTGTCAACAACTTCTTCAGCTTCAACTACAATTATACATGGGCAAACAACCGATACAAACTCAAGGTAAACCGCTCCAAACTCAATTGCAGAAAATACGACTTCTGAAACAGAGTGGTCAATGCCTGAAATGCCCTACCCGACTCAGTTGTTTCAGCCTCAACCCCTCATAGCTTCCACCTCAAACTATCTACCTTGGACCTCACCCCATTCCTAAGAGGTCCTTAAAGGGGGCGTGCATAAACACACCAGCATGCCTACCGTCCTTGTCTTGCTGTCCCAATTTATCTGTATTTACTTCTTTTGTTCATGTTCATACCTACATTTGTTATCCTGTATATGTTTGACAAACAAATAAAATTAATAAATTAACTTCTCAGAGGAATACACTTGGAATCTGCTGCTACTTTCAAAGAACTTGTCAAGGTTTTCCTAGTCTATATTAGATATTCAATTGCTGACAAAGGGCTTGTCCAAAGTCAACTAGCCAGCACTTCCATGACTGAAGGTGGCCTTGAAGCCTGGTTTTACCAATCTGAGTTCCAGCATTTTATCTCAAAAAATATATACTGGTTCTCTCTTTTCTACAGTTTACTAATTAGTTCCCTATGTACTAAACAGAGGTATGTGAGCTGTCTCGTTTAATCAAATGCCCCACTTGAATCAATATGCTTTGAACATTTCAGATTGATTCAGATGTCTAGATGTCCAACACAAAACCCAATTCGATCCAGGTTAGGTTACTGAAATCCAGCAGTGCAGAAAGAGATCCAAATTTTCAGACTGATGAGCTATTCTGAACTGTGCATCAGATAATCCCACTCCTTGAATAATCCACTCTGGTTGCTATTTTGAAAATCAGAACAATTTAGCATGGTTACAGCTTTGGAACAGCTACTCGATGGAAGCATATCCCAATCTTGCCAGTTTCCAGGTGGGTGGACTTCAAATGCCTGAATTCCAAAGCCAAGTCTGGCCATTGATAAGAATTCTAAGAGTCCACTAGTAATTGCCAATTGTTGGGAAAAACCGCTCTTTGATGTTTTTGCATCTACAAATTAGCACAATATCTACAGATAGTGCAATATTAATGCAATATCAGGGGTTTTCAATTCAGTGTATAGAATATGAAGGATGTGTGTTTGTGTTTATTTTCAGTCATAATGTACACTGAGGATGGTATTTAATTTAGTTGTACGAGGTGCAATGACAATAAACTAAACTAAATTAAACTAATCATGGGAATGCTTCAATGGAGAAAAATGGTCATAAGTCACTTTTTCCACTGTTTCTTTGGAAGAGCCTTATAGCTCCCGTTGCCTTAAGAAAGTTCAAAACATTCTCAAAGATCCATCTCATCCTGGGCATCCCTTTTTTTGAACTATTACCATCTGGCAGACGGCACAGGATAATAAAAACAAGGACAAATAGACTGAAAAACAGCTTCTATCCCAGGGCAGTAACTCTACTGAATTCTACTGTATAGTGCAATATTAATGCAATATTGGGGGTTTTCAATTCAATGTATAGAATATGAAGGATGTGTGTTTGTGTTTATTTTCATAGTCATAATGTACACTGAAGATGGTATTTAATTTCATTGTACGAGGTGCAATGACAATAAACTAAACTAAATTAGCTGTTAATGCAAATGGGAAAACCTTTTAAAGTTATATTTCAGAAGAGGCGGTGGTGACATGTCACCGGCATTTTGCATAGCCCCCCCACTTTTTTAAAAAAATTATCCCTTCTGATTTTCCTCTCTCACTTGCAGGTAAGCTCCTCCTGAATGAAAACTTACAGTTCTGTAAGCCTCAGCGTCTTGAAGAGTAACCACGAAAGAGTGGTCAGCCGGTTACCTGAGAGATTTCTGGGGAGAAAAAGAGAAAGAATTTACGATCAGTCAGTCATCCCCTCTTCTTTGCAACTTTGTTATTCTCTGAAAGCAAATAGTGTAAGTTGAAACACACATAGAAAAGCCCAAAATAGTTAGAACTGAATATATTGCAAGTTTGGAATTAAACCAGAATTCCCCTTGCATTTAAATCTTAAAAAGAGAACAATAAAGTTGAGGGAAAATTGACAGCATGTGAAATGTTCTCTCTGATCATGGACAGTGAATGTTATTAAATTAGGAAGAATCTGTTAGCTGCTATTTCCAAGGATTAATTAATTATTTTTAAAAGAAAGAAGAATGTAAGTAAGCAAATATTGATAGAAATAGCATATATTCCAGCCATTTTTAAAGTTAAGTTCTATGCCCAGAATAATCCAAATTATTTTTATACATCCATCAGAATCCAGCAACTGACAGAAATTATCCAGATTAGTAATCTATGTATATTACTTTATGTTTTTTTTACCTATTTCATTCCAAAATAGTTACTATTCCAGACACTGCAGGCAATTCATGTAAGTTTCATTGCTTCTAATTCATTGTCAATATATGAGCAATACACAGTAATAATAGTTCACTACTAAAGTTATCTGTTATAAAAAATATATAGTTATGTCAATGGATAAACACAGAACGTACATAAATATCTGGATATAATTTGAACATTTATGGTCTTAAAGAAGTCTTACTCTCTTATCCGTAGTTGTTTTAACCTTCATAAGGAGACAATACTAACATAATCTTCAAGGTTGTTTCACCAATTCAAATATAATTATCGAGTTTCCTACATCACAGTGATTAAGTTCCAATGTGATTTGCTTTGATTTTAGTATTAGGTGTCAAATGTACTCGGTTATGTCTTGGGGCTATGTGTGATTCTAGTCATTGTGGTTAACAAATCATGGTTAATGAAGTCACAGCTAAACAAAATTTGTAAATCCAATCAAGGAATGCAAAGCTATGAGGAAAATTAATGCAATATAGTACAATATGGTATAATTCAGTAGGGTAAAGTAGAGTATGACAGGGTAGGGTAAAGTAGAGTAGGGTAGAGCAGGGCATGGTATCTTATAGTATCTAATGACATAGTAACCAGACCAGTTTACCAGACTGTTAAATTCCATGGACTTTGCATGCATGTATCAAATTTTTACAGTGTTTTAGCTTATTTGGGTAATAACATGACTTTTACATTTGAATGATATAATGTGCATCAATTATGCTATGATATGTACAGAATAATCCACATGGAAACATTTATGAGAATAGTTATGAATAACTATCCAGCCACACACAGATACACTAAATTGAGTTAAAGTTTACTTTAAGAATAGCACAGTCCAATAAATGGTCCAGGTCATATATATTAACAGTCAAAGGGATATCCAATTACAAAGTCTCTTTACTGGTTGCCTTTGTCATTTACAGTAAACAAAGATATCAAAGTATAACATAGCATAAATACAACAGAGAACCTTAGATAGCAACAGAATGTCAGAGAGACAGAATGTCAGAGAGCGCAAGCTATGATCACTAGCTCCCTCTTATGGTAATTTGCAATATAATCAACCAATCGGAAATAGTATAAATCAATACAGTGGTTTTGTCTACAAATGTACATTGTTGGTTTATATATTGCCAACCAACTAATTGGTGGACACATTCCGAACAAATTACATAGTTTGTTTAGTGACATCATCATGCAAATTACAAAAACAAATGATGCAAATTATGTACATCACCCTAATAATATCCACTCTCCAATTTAACCATCAGCAATTAAAGTCATACAAAGTAGAAAACAAATATTTACTCCATGAAATGACATAACAAAGTTCCTGCTTGTAGCAGTAAAAAGTTTGTAAGCAGTCTTTATGTTGAAGAGCATATTTTTAAGATCTTTGGCCTTCTGCTTCTGGTTTGAGCTTCTTCAGCGACAGACCGAAACCTCGTCTCTGCAAGGCTTCAATCCATGCTCACGGCTGGAGTGCCCCGAGCCAGCTGGTTTCGGGGCTAAGCCACCCCGGTAGAGGTGGTGAAGAGGGGGGAGACTGCCAGCAGGGTTGAGGATAGCCGCATCTCTCTTCCCCAGCTGGCCATTACTCCCTTTCCTGAAGGCAGTTGCAGCGGTGGTCAGAAATGGCCACCACAAAGAAGAACTCGACCGGAAAAGAATGTGCAGGAGGAAGATAAGGAGAGAAAGTTTTGGTTGACCGGGTCAGACAGCAAAAGCAACAAATAAGGTACCCTGGAATTGAAACTGTTAAAAAACAATAACATTGTTCCCTAAGAAGATTTTTAAGCTGCGAAGGAGAGAGAAAAGGGAAAAGATTTGGTTTTCTCCTTTTCCTATACTGACAGCTAAGAGACTTAAGCAAGAAATTGGAAAAAAATCCACTTTGACATCAATAGGCATTTAATGCTGAAAATAAAAAGTCAAAGGGATAATAAAGATTTCTGGATAATTAAAAGCTTTTGAAAACAGGAAAGGAGAGAGGAAGAATAAAAGGGCAGGATCTGGAAGGGAGGAGACTGCCTGGAATTAAAAAAGAACTTACAGCAAAATCTCAACAAGACTTCCAAAAGTTACATTCTAACTGAAATATCGCAACAAAAACCCCAGGAAGAGAAAGTCGAAAAAGAACTAAGAAGATATAACTTGGGACTATCTGGATTACTTGATGATTTCTGGATTCTTGGTTATTGTTTTGAATGACTAAAATCAATCGGGTGGTTGTTTAAAACTGTTTAAAATGGCTCTACTTTTAGAAGAACTGAAAATGGAACTTAGATGAAAGAAGATGCACAAGAAGGGAGAGGTTCTTTTGGCTTCGTATTTCAGTTTTTAGAAATGGAGATTTGGAATTATGAGAAACAACAAGAAATGCCTGCAGAACAAGAAGATTGTGACAAAAAACAAGCCGTCTTTAATGAACAAGTAATCTTAGATGGGGGGGGGAAGGAAAGGGGAGAAAGAGAATGGAAAGTTTAAGATTGGGAAAAACAACTCCAAAAAAAAATAGAGTGAAAAATAAGTATAAAATCAGAAAGCAACAGAAGAGGGAAATGCAGAAGAAAGAATTAGAACTTAGAGAGACAAGGGGGTAAAAAGGGGAGGGAGAAGATGAGAGGGAAGAAAGAAAGGAAAAGAATTTATAAAGGACAGAAGCAAAATATAGAGAAACAGGGTCTATTTAGAGATAATGGGTGAAAAGTTAATGGAAAAAGGGATTCTACAAAGGTACATAAGATAGTATGGTTATATTAGAAGCAGAAATAATTTTAGAAAATATGAAACAATGTATGATTAAAATGTCTGATAAAATAGCTATCGTAATTCAGTGGAATGCTTGTCAATAAATAAATGTAGCAAAAGGTATATTTAATGATTTATAAAACATATGTAAAGAGAAATAAGGGAAAAATTAATTATGGAGATTATATGTGTTTTTAAGGAAGTATGATATTTAATTGAAAAGAAGTGTTAAAGATGTTAAGATTTTAATGATTATTATTGATAGAACTGAACTGGAATGGAATGAGGGTTTATAATTACATATATTTACAATCTTTTTTTTAAGAATATAGTGTGTATTATAAGAATGTGCCAAGCAGAATTCGATTGGAAGTTATGTATTATGCATTATATTGAAGGTCATAAACTTAAGGTATATATTGAAGTTTAAATAAGAGTTGAATGGATGCAATTAAAAGATATTAAGGTGTCATACTCCAATTAGTAACTATAGGAGAAAATTTGTTTAATGAGAAAAGATATGAAATTGAAACAGAACAGACAAAAGCATAAATATAATGACTTGAACTGAGATGAGATAATCAAAATAAAATTGAGAAAATTAAAAGAGGGGAAAAACTATATAGAAAATGTAAAATAGTATAAGATATGGAATAAAATACAAAAAGGAGCATGAAATTGAGTGTTGTGTCTGTATAAAGAAGTTCAACCTGGGACCATGCTATTTTCAAAAAAGATGTTTTACTTGTATTTCGTGTGTGAAAACCCAAATAAAACTTTATTTTAAAAAAAGATCTTTGGCCTTCTGCTTCTCACTCTACAATGTGTGTAGTCCAATGCAAATCTTAGCATCTTAAAACTAGAGGAGACCATAATGATCCAGGTGGCAGATTGGATATCAAAAACTGGGAAGATACCAGAAAGGCAACTTTACAAAATCAGAGTAGGGAATTTTAACAAAGAGGCCTAACTTTGTTTCTTGCATCTTTGTCTTATTCATGTTGAGACTGTTGCCATAGCAACCTGAGATCAACTTCATAAAGTCCCCACTCTGGTTGGGAAAGGCATAACTCCTCCCCTAAAGTGTGAAATCTATTTACCCAAGGAAGTATTTATAAGCCAGCATCCTCAACTGCCCCACCCCTTTACTCTTTTTCCAATATAGTTTGGGCAAATATTTTGTTTAAAGGAGAGAGGGAAGAGGAGAGAAAGAGAGAAATTACAATAAAGAATGTTTCATTTGCACAATGAAATTTAAATACTTTTGAGTTTGTTGACCCATTATATATAGACCTCTGTATGTAAATATTTTAAAGCATTAAGCATATAATGTAAATCTATAAAGATTCTCAGTTGTTTTACTCTGCAAGGTATATAAATCCTTCCATTCCCCACCATCCAGTCAGCTGAAGAAGCTTCTTGGATGAGAAGTGAAACGTCTTCAAAGAAAAAAACAAGAAAGTCCAATTGCCTCCTGAAAAAGCACCTTTGGGACATACAATGTAAGGATGCATGCTAGACAATATTTTAAAAATGGGGGACAATGCTCCACTGCTGGCCCTTTTAAAAGAATTATTTAGAAATATTCTTAAAGAAATCCCACCCATTTCCATTCATATTTTTCTGCAATGTGTTAACGCTTCTACATTTGATGTAAACTCATGAAGATTTTTTTTCCTTTTATAAACAAATATTCATATTTCTTCCATATAAATAT